CAAACTTGATGTGAGTTTCGTGAGGTTTTTGAGTTGTGCTTTCTGTCACAGTTGAGGTCAGATGCACCTTTTTAAAAAAGCGCTTAAAATTTTTGATTCTTCTTTAGGAGCTGACAGCTGATCTTGAAGCAGTAAAAGACAGTCAAAAGGCTACCGAATTTGACATCTTACATATGGAAAACAAACGTGCTGGACGAGATAAGTACAAGACTTTAAGGCAAATCCGTGGTGGGAATACAAAGCGTCGGATCGATCAGTATGAAAATATGTAAATTCGACGTGCATTTTTTAACAAACAGGCTTGAGCCGCTATTTGCCTTGGCAAAGTTATAACTGGAACTACTGTTGCTCCATCCGTACTTTTCATAAGTTTTCGATCATATTGCAAGTTCTAAGTTCTTTGGGAATCTTGTATTGTATGAGGCTTCTGTGAAAATTTTTTTGTTTTTAAGTTATTTTCTGATGAACTGATTGATTTATTATTGCTATGAAGTTTCTTTAATTCGTTCTGCTTTTCGAATCTTTTTGAGGATTTTCAGTGATGAAAACATTTTTTACGCTGATGTTGTTTGTTTTAGACAGCAAGTTTTTGAGTTCTAACATATCGTGTCAGGTTTTTTTTTCTAATCTGTCCAAAATAGTTTTGGGTTTAAGTTGCCTTTCGCTTTTCAGCAAAGGCAGTGACAAGCAGTGGTTTTCAGTACTTATTACTGCGGTTTTGTTTGTTTCCAGATCACGAAGTTGTTCTTTGTATGTTGTTTAGTAGATAATGAAAGAGTAGGATTTGCAGTGGAAAGTGTCATTAACATAGTAATAATTGTTCCTTCCTTTTCCTTATCGTTTGCTCAACTTTTGGTTTTACGTACTTCTCACCTCCAAGATGGACGCTCTCTTTAAACTTTTATGTTTTTGGTGGAGGGATTTAGTTGAGCGTACAAGCTAGATTGTCTTTCTCATCGTGATTGTGTTATGATGTGAGTAGTGCATTGTTCTGCAAAATTTTATGTTAAATACATTTAATTGTCGTCCTGAATGGTTAGGAGCTGGTTTACAATGGACTTTCTGACTCTCTTTTTCTTCTTTTCATTTCTTGTTAGGTTTGGGAGGTGGTGTATAACTGGAAGTTTCAAAACTTGGTACTTTTTTTATTTCAAGAGAAAGACGTCGTATTTTTTCTACTAGTGTTTTCGCATTGAGAAATGACTAATTGCTTGGGGGGTCATCTTTGTGAGGAGGAGGTGGCAAAAAAAGGTATAAACTTGTTATTGGAGTTTGTATATGAATAGTGTAGGAGATTATTTTATTGAATTCATCGCGTTCAGGACCATTATCATTCCGAAGTTATTTAGCGTTTGCTGCACTTGTTGGTCGTTATTAACCAATTGTATTGATTTTTCTTGATGTAAATAAAAGCTTGGTTTAATTGTGAAAGGAAATTCTGGGTATAGTGTGATTTGATGTTATTTTTCGTCTTTGAGTTCGACATGTTTTTCCTTTACTGGTTAATTCAAATGATAGTGAAAAGGTTTTGCTGCTCAGGAGAGTGGCTCAGTGATATTTTTTTTGTTGTGGTGGTGTTTGAGTTCTTAAAGTTGATCGGTTGGGATGGAGCGATGTTGCGGATAGAGCTCATCTGTGAAATTTGATTAGATAAGACGACGGGTCTGTTATAAAACGGGGTTGGGTGTATGGCTTTGCTATTGAGAAGGCCGTTTCATTCTTCGACAGGGTATTGGAGGTTGAGATTGCCATCTTACTACCGACATAAAAAGGCTACTGACCCTCAAAAACAGGACGCCGAGTATTATGAAAAGGCCGCTCGCGCTTTACCATTGGGTGAGATAAG